TATATATATATATATATATATATATATATATATATATATATATATATATATATATATATCATATCTTTTATGACTTACTATAAGTCCAAACATAGTTTTTAAATACTTTAGATTATAAGATTTTAGTAAATGGATTAGCAATTATCAAAGTAGATTTTAGTAAGTTCTCAATTGACACTTGTTATTTCTGAACTCGTTCTTTAACCACCAAGTATTTTAACTCAATATGCTTAGAACCACTAGAGTATTTATCATTTTTAGAGAAAGAAACTATTATTGTGTTATCACAAAATATCTTTAACACTCTGGCAATTAAGTCAATAATATCAAGTCCTAAAAGAAAATTTCACAGCAAAAACATTTGACTTATGGTCTCAAAATATATCATAAATTTAGCTTCTATTATTAATGATGTAATTAATGATTTCTTTGCATATTTTCATAAAATTGTCCCTCCAATTAATATGAATATGAATCTTGAAGTGAACTTTTTATTATCGAAGTAATTTGAATATATCATTACTTCAAGTTGATATGATCTCTTATATGTGAGCATGTCTCATTATTATTTTTTTTAGGTTTTCAATATCCTATTCCTATGTTATTTTAGTATTTATATTTGTATTATAAAACCAATACATGATCATGTATCAATTTGAGTATATAATAGACTTCTAACTATACATGTTTGAGAATGTAATAGATTTTTATACAAAACTTATATGAGTTATATATTGATAAATTTTTATAAATACCGTAGTCATAAACCCAATTCACCTACATTATGTTGCGAGTTTAAAATCTTATTTTATACATCTAAATTGTTTATTTGATGTACACTACTAATTTTAGGATTGGAAACCTTTCTTCAACAACTCTTGTAGTTTTACATTATGTTTGATGGCAACGGTGAACATGTCTTACATATATTTAAGTTGAGGACTCAAAATCTTATTTGATAAATTTTATATTTAAAATACTATGCTATGCTGATAATGGTGTACTTGTTATACCTTAGGTTGATGGTTCATGAATTTATTCAATAATATTTTTACATTTAAAATGCTAGTCATCTAACTCACTTGTCAATTGGAGAGTTCATGGCATTCTTTCATAAATTTTATTACTTAAAATAGTAACTCATTAATGGTGGTATAACTAACTCACTAGACTTAAAATCAAATATTCTAAAAGTTCATCTCACAAACTTGCTCAATCAAAACTCTATTTCTACTTGGCTCATTTATTCTTGATTCAGTAGGCAAAATATCATCCAACAAAAAAAATGCATACTAACTTGGGTGGTGAATATTAAGATCATATCTCGATTCAATTGATTATAATTTACAAAAAAAAAAAAATATTTTCCTTTCTTGAGGAGTTAATCTTTGCATATTGTTCCAAGGTTCCCACCTGCCTTGTTTCTTTATGTATTTCCAATTTCGGTGTTTGCACTCAGTTATGTTAATTATTTATTTAAATTTATGATGAAAACAAAACGCAAACGGGCATTTGGTCTAGTGGTATGATTCTCGCTTAGGGTGCGAGAGGTCCCGAGTTCAATTCTCGGAATGCCCCGATTATTTTCCTTCTTTTTTTTTGGTATTTATCTGATTGATTTCATGTTCATTATGATTAGACAAAACTAACGTGAAAGAAGCATACACAGTTCAATAGAAACTAAATCATTTTTTCAAGCTGAATAAACGACAGATCTAAAAATACAGGACAACGAATCCAGTAGATCTACATCAAATGAATGAGAATCTTTAGCTCACTGTGATGTGAGATCGCGTGGAGTCGTCCTTTCATCAGATACGACCTCCATCATGTTGTTGCAGCAGCCAAAACTCCCAGTAAGCAGCAGCAGCAGCAGCCGAATGATTAGGACTTGGCGAGAAGCTGCTGATCCCCATGACGCCCTTGTTGCCGGAAATATCTTGGCTGAGTCCATTGAAGGATGATCGGGAAAACACCATGTCACCATCGACTCCTAGTAGATCATCCGATAGATCTTGCTCGCCCGTCATCAACATTTCACTGCTCGATGCGTGTGTGGCTAAACGAGCAGATGCAGACAAAACTGAAGCATCAGAAGAAGACGAAGAGGAGGCGGAGGCGGCACCGGTGAGGCGTTGCACCACCGACATGAAGTCGCTAGGAGTGGCGTGGACGACCTTCGGCGAGACGGCGTAAATTATGATGGGCCGCCGGTACTGGGGTGGCGCAGGCGGCACAACCGGACGTTTCTTTATCGCGTTGGAGTCCCTTCGAACTTTGAGAGGAGCCAGCCGCGGCCTCGACGACTTCCCGTCCATGGGGAGATCAGATGAATCCATGTTGGGAGCAGAACTGGATGTGTTTGAGAGCTTAATCGAGGCAAGGTAGAGGCACAACAAGTCAATGAAGTAAAGGAGCGAATCGAAATATAATAGCAGAAGTAATTGAGAGCAGATAAAGAAGAACGAAGGAGAGAAGAAAGAGAAACCATGCAGCTGCCGCCATTACGGGCTCACGAGGAAGCTGCGTCCGGAGGAGGCGGAGTTGGATCGGGTAAAAGCCACGGAATTGCACGCATCAGGTGTCACGTCCCACGTCGACTGCCAATAGCAAATTGACACGAGAGCAAAAACAATGGTTGATGTTAAGATAAAAGAGTATAGTGATGAGATTAGGGTTCATTGGATAGCTTCTCGGAGGCGGATGTGGTCAATTGGATGGTCAACATTAGGCAAGACGTGGTCAGACCGTGGAAGGGGTCCACCTTTTTGCCTTTTTCCCATTAATGCTATTTAGATATCTTTTCTTACCAAACAAATGAGTGAGGAGACACATTCTAAGAATGCTATGGAGACAAGTTTCGTTGCAGAGGTATGAACGAGTCTTTGGTTCCTCGTTGCATGCGAATCCGAGGAAGGTATGAGTAATAAGTTATCTTAAGAGACAAGTCTCCCCAGAAAGTAGGAAGATGAAGGAAGTCTCTCTCTCATCTGCCCTTGACTTAGAGGCAACAAGAATCCAACCCAATCATGGCAAAAGGAATTATCTCATGGCAAAGAGACGATGATTCTTAGGTTATTTATTTATTAGTGATTATTATTAGCTATTTCCACAATTGTACTGCTGGAATTTTGAGTACTTGGCATTATTTTTTAATATATTAAATCTTCTTTTAGTTGAATTATTTTAATCTTTATATTATATTATATTATGATTTTTTTTAAAGTTTTATTACATTAAATAGCATACATGATATTATTCACACATAAACTAATACTTAAGATCTATCATTTATGTAATAATACATTAATTAGATGATTTTTTTCCTTCATTTATTTACTCTTTTGGGTCTACTAAGAAGATTTGCCATGATCTTACTTTTCATCAGCAAGGCTACCATGGATCAGGTGAATAAATAACTTTTCTATCACTTCATATAATTATAAAAGAAATAAATCAAACTTATTGATTTCTTCAGTTATTTTGAATTTTTCAATCATAATATATATATACTAATCAAAATCGGATGATAGAATACATATGAGTCTGAGTCTCGATCTAACAAAATAATTAGTCTATTAAAAGTTTGAACTACTGAGACTAAATTCGGATGTTAAATTTAGTACCTTATTTTCACATAGTATTTTGACAGAGACTTTATCATACTACTTAGATATAAGATAGTTGGGATTTTAATTTGGGTTAGCAACCAAATTTGACACTAACAAATTATAATTGGGTATCTTAATGCTATTTAACTCAATCGGTTCTTCCTAATTCCGGTGGTCGGTCAGTGAGGAGGAGAACAAGCGGCGTGGACGGTGATTCCGGCGTCGTTGTAGACCCTGCCTCGCCCATGCCGAGGAGAACCCGATGAAGCAAGCCAACGCCGACGGCCTCCATCAGCCCCGTACGGAGCAGCTTCAACCGCCGCGCCGCCCCTCCTTCCTCCCACCACTCCCCATTAATTTACTCCATCGTGCACATGCAGCGGCTGAGACATGATGACCTTCATTTGCCTACAAATAACCCCTTCTTCCCCCTCTTCTGTCCTCTCCATGACATATACGCAGCTCTTCTTGCCTTCTTCCCTTCCCATGCTTTCGTCCCACCATGACATGCTCCCTTGCACTCCTCCGCAGCCCGTCGACGTCGAGCTGGCGAACAGTTGCCCCCGCTGCGGCTCCTCCGACACCAAGTTCTGTTACTATAACAACTACAGCCTGAGCCAGCCGCGGTACTTCTGCAAGGCCTGCCGGCGGTACTGGACCAAGGGCGGATCGCTCCGCAACGTGCCCATCGGCAGTGGCTACCGCAAGAGCCGCAGGGGGAGGTCGTCAGCGAGGCTCTCCAGTGCCGTCTCCGTCGCCGCCGGTGGTCCAGATGCCAACTCCAATCGCCGTGCTCCGCAGAGTCCTATCCGCCCGGACCTCCTGACGAACGAGGTAGCCGCTCCTATTGCCATCAATCTCGAGGCGTTGTATGCCAAGTACATGAACCGGTCTCCGGAGATGGAGTCAGGCGTCGCCATTGCAGCATTCGATACTGAAACGACAAGCCGATCGAGTTCATGCCACTGTCAGATGTTTTCGCCAGTTGGTGATACTACACCACTGAATCAGGTCAACGATCGGCCATTCGGTAATGGAGACTACAATCTATATAGAGAGTTGAGCCGCTCCATAACACTGCCAGTGGAACCTGTTCAGAGCTACATATCCTTGGATTGCCAAGAAGAGTTTGAGTCGACCACGGCATGCAGCATGGATCATCAGCAAGATCGTGCGAACATTGATGATTGGAGCTTGTTGGATTACTCAAGCTTGGAGGCCTTCTACTAGTGCTAATGCCCACCACATTTCATTGTCTTTCTCCTGTTCTTCATCTTCGATTCCTCTCAATGGTCAATAATCCTTTCTCCATGTAAACTCCATCACGTGAAATGGCATAAATATTTTAGAGACATCGACGATGACATCATTCATGACTCTCCTTTACAGATTGTAACATCAACAGCATCAAACACCCTTCATAGTTCAAGATTGTTTCATGGACACACCAACCACCTTGTGATCTGCTCCTTTCAAGTATAACTAAGATCAAGGATCAAGATCATTTAAGTCAAACAAATAGCTCTAAAATCTAGATGTCAAAAGTCAACTGAAGCTTCTTGCTTAGACCAAACCATCAAGCATTGATCTGAGTATCTTCTAATTTATTATGTTAGAAATCTGGTTAATAATTATTGGGTTGATGAACGTAAAACTAGATAGACAAATCAAAGTTGTCCTCTTCCATTAGATCAAGAAATTGAGATCATAATTTATACAAAAAAACTAGAAGATTATGGATGTGATCCAAGAGAGGATAGCACATGATCCGAAGCAAATCCCTTGAGAACCACACCATGAGACCATTAAGTTAAGCCATCCCTGACTCCTTGAAATGGGGAACTGATATGAGGAGGAATTGATGCCCGGCTTGCCTTATTGTAATGTCTTTATTTCTTGATTTGGGTAATTTGTGATCTCTAGAGGGCATCAATAATCTATGTGATTCACATAAAAGACAGTTATCTTCCAACAAGAGTAACTTAGTCTCAATTATTCAGAATTATGTATTTTTTTTCATTTTTGAACTATATATAAGATTATATGAACATTTTAATTTTTTTAATATCTTCTTTCTATCCCGTCTCATACCATTAATTTTAATGAACTCCTCTCATTTACATATATATTTACTTAAAATCAAAATATAAATAATAATAATAATAATATATCAAAAAATCGAAACTATATTATCATGATTAAACACTAATTTAGTTTAATGTAATTTTTTATATAAAAAATTAAATTATTCATCATATGATATCAATTACCAACATCATTGAGTTAATCAAACTTAAGCATAAATTTTTTTTATATATCTTCTCATTTAAATTCTGAAAAAAATGTATACTTTTTCTCCTACTCTTAAAACTTGAGAGAAACTAGAAGTAGATCCTCATATCTTATTTTCCCACCTAAACATGACTACATAAGCAATAATAAATCCTAATTTATTAACTTGAAATGATGTCATCTTACAGCAATAATATTATGTAATAAGGTCTTGATTATATTTTGATAATAAAATATTGAGATAAAAAATATATATTTTTTGTCCATTATACCAAAAAAATAGTATCTAGTTATATATTAATATATTTGCTCGGAAGAAGTATATATTTTACAATTTTTGATGAAAATGTCCATATTTTCTCTTTTA